GAAGCTGGTCAAGGAAAGGAGAACTAGTCTCACAATAGTGCTGCTGGTCAACAGTATCCAGGAGGGAGTTCTATCAACTGAGGCCTCAGCAGTTACTTGGCCAGGAGCTATATGCAAACGCATATCAGAGTTTCAAACTTTGTTTAAACTTGATAAATTTCCCATTGATTAAGTTTTTAATTATAGTGTCTTAGATGCCTATTGCAATAACATCATTTATGTTTTTCTTCTCTTTTTCCAAATACAGTTACCACGGAAAATTCCACAGAAGGCATGTGTTTGTGCTATTTTCCTTAGGCAGTTTCTCCCTCGACTGTAGCTTTGTTATAATGTAAAACTCATCACCTAGAAGCATTTCATTATTTGTACATGGTGTTAACTCCCTAGCTTAAAAGAAATGGCTTGACTCAGTGCTTAATTACCTTTGAACCTCCATTTCAAATAAAGAGATGGATGCCCTTACTCAGGTCTGTTTCATTTGCCCTCTTAAAATATTTATTGCAGTGATACTTTTCAGACTTTTGCTCACAATTTTTGGAATCTTTTCCATGACAGGCATTTTGATATCTATATAAAAGTTTTCTCTCTAATTTATCCGATGGTTACATTAGTTTATATCCTTCCATTTGTTCTTTCAAACACACTTACACTTACAAATCTTTTTATTCACACTAGGGAAAAATACCACTGAGCTCTTGTTTAACTGGAAATAAACTTGAAAATTAATTGGTATAGAATTGATATCAATAATATGACTTACCTGATATTGTGAAACATGTGCTACTCATTGCCAATCATGTCAACTTACTGAATTTTATTTATTTCTGCTAATTTATCATCCATGGCTACCATTGGGTAAACAGAAATTATATCTGTTTAGTTAATATTCTTTATTTTGTGGTTCACTCTTTTTTGTTATCTTTCTAATTTTTATGGCACATGTATTTATATGTAATAAATGAGGTCTTAATGAATATTTTATTGTTGTTTTTCAGGACATGTATTGTTTGCATTGTAAATCATCATTTGTTGGTACATATAGACAGACATTATTATTCTTTGGTTCTTTAGTAGTTTTGAGGTGACTAAAACTCCAAAATACGAAATATGGTCTGTGTACAAGTGAAGAATGTTATATTCACTTTATACAGTCTTTTCTTTTTTTCTTGTTATATTTTCAAAAAATGAATTTTAAAAATTCAATGACCAGTTAAAAGCAAAGAAAATCATATTTCAAAATCAAGAATTTGCTACTTTAAAATATTTTTGTGAAATTCTTTAAATCAACTGAAGTTATATTATAAATATATTTTAATACATTATTGGCATTTAGGGGTTCATATTTTCTGTCATTAATACAAGTTCATTTTATGATTTTATTTTCCTCTATTTATTGACAAGTATTTCAATTTTATAAAAATAAAATCCTCAAAATATTTATTGCACCATTATTTAAAAGAATTTGATAATTCACACACAGTTACCTAAAAATTCAGGACAAAAGCATATTTATATTCCACTTCACAAGATCTATGAATGAGGTAAAGAGCTGATTTTACAAAAGCTGGGTGTATTTCTTTGTACCCACTATCTAAAATAATCTACAGGCGAATTAAGTAACTTTTGGTAACGATGCACAAACACAGTAAATTTAAATGAAAGGTAAAAATGAGTACAAGGTTCTGAATAATAGTCATTTAAAGTTCTTATTTATTCTTGTATTTTTGAAAGATTCATTTTCACAACCAATCTCTATAATAGTGCTACTGACAGGAATAGAGGAACCAGAAATCTGCGAGGAGATCAAAATCTCACGTGGAAATTTTCTTGTTCACCGTGCTACAGGGGTAGCACCTTACTGAGAGCTAATTAGGATAACATGCAGTGCAGTTATTTTAGAGAAAGGGTATGGCCTAATCACTGGACTGAAAATATGTCAGTCAGTAATTGGTTAAAATGATTGTCAGTGCATGAAGCAATTTCATATATATGGGATTTTTATTCTATCTAAAATTCATCTATTTGTTCTAATTTATTACACTTGGCCTCCGTGCCATAAATATCAAATAATGTGACAAAGATATTCTAACTCATCAGCTGAACATAGATTATTAAAAATTCTAATGTCACCTTCATGTAAGTAAATGGAGATGTTTGTGAAAGTTCCCACTTATTAAAATACATTTATCAATTGCTGAAATTATTTATGGATGATGATTGAATTATCTCTAAGGTTTTTTTTTAGATTACAAGAAATATAAAATACAGAAAAAATATCTAATTGTGTAAGTGCAGAAGAAGAAAGTGGAATATCAATACAAGAAAACAAAAATGACATACTAAATGGCTATACCGAGCTGTGAGTTTTCAGGTTTAAAAACGACAGAGGTTGGACATTTTCTAAAAATTTATTTATTTTTTAATTAATTAAAGTTCATTCATTTTGTATCCCAGCAACAGCACCCTCCCTCATCCTCTCCCTATCCTGCCCTCCCTTCCTCTTCTCCTCCTTTGTCCCTCCCCCAGTCCACTGACAAGGAGGTCCTCCTCCCCTTCCTGTGACCCCAGCCTATCTTGTCTCATCAGGACTGTCTGCATTGTCTTCCTCTGTGGTCTGGTAAGGCTGCCCACCTTCCTCTTGGGGAGGTGATCAAAGAGCAAGCCACTGAGTTCATGTCTGAGACAGCCCCTGTTCCCCTTGCTGGGGAATGTGTAGACTCAGGAACCCTCCTCCATTGCTGGTGGGAATGTAAACTTGAACAACCACTTTGAAAATCAATATGGCGTTTTCTCAGAAAATTAGGAATAGTGTCACCTCAACTACAAAATCCTAGAATGTCCTATAGTGGCTATAGGACACTGTCTCAAACCAAAACAAGTAATTATCAAATTCTTTAAATAACTCCAAAGAAGAAATTTTGCATGTAAATCAATTCAGAAAAAAATGAAATTGTTATGGACTCCACTCTTTGCATGCATAATGGACTATTATGTTGTATGTAACTTACTGAATATTTCTTTGTAATTATTAATAAGTGATAATTAATAACTGGCACTTATATTTTGGACATATATCCTTTAAAATTTGTATGAGCACTTTAGAATTTCTTTGGTATATTTACATTAATTACTTTCATTATATAGAAATACAATTTCGATAATAGAATTCATTTTTTTTTTTTGCACTTCATAGAAGCCATTAAGAGATTCAAATGATTTATTGAATGAGTATAACCAGAGAGTTGGGGATCATACTAGTTCATTCCATTCAGTGTGAGTTTTACTTTACTTTGCAGGAAGTCTTTAAGTACTTTCTTACCTGCGACAAAGGGATCTCCTTTCCGTTACGCTATCCATGTCGTGGTGAGCCATAAAAGATAGAGCACTGCTGAACGTTTTTTGGAATTACCTCAGAATGATTGCCTCGTAGAGCCTGCCAGGAATTGTGGACCCTGTTCAGATAATTCTTGGGTGGCGGAGTCTTAGGTCAGCTAACCTCCATGACAGTCTTTTAAAGGTCATTTAAGACACAGCGATGAGGTTGCTTAAATTGTGGGTGATTGATTATATCTGGTAAATGAAGACTTTTATCACATTTTCAGATGTACTGTGAGTTCAAGTGTGCCACAACAATGACTGATTTTGACTCAATTTTTTTGCTACTTTTCTTTCACTATAAATTCTTCATTAAGTCAAATTAAACAAAGGAATATAGTGGCTCCTTTAAAAATAACCTGTCGTGGAAATAAAAATTATTAGATTGGCTCTAGGAAAATCTTTGCTATATTCTCGGTTTGTGTTCTTAAAGAAAAAAAAAATTGTACTTTTTTTTTTAAAGGAAAGAGAACAGTCTGACACCAAATATTATTTTTACCAATAGCACATTTGTGATCACACCAGAATTTAAAGAATGTTGAATGTTTATGTGTATTTTCTATTGAATTTTCAACAATTTTGGCAGCTACTAGACATTAGGCAATACATTTTGCCTTTCCGAATAAACATTTATTGTAGGATCTATCAACATTATTTTTTAACTGAAAATACATACCTCCAGAGACCAGGAAATGTGCAGAATGTTTGCATCAGTTGCATTCATTGCTTTGTTTAAATTTCACACTCATTTCATGAGCTTCTTCTGTGTTCTTAGAAAGATGCCCTATCACCTAAGGAAAAGTGGCCTTGACGGTGCATTTGGTTATACAGTAAGGAAAGATTATAAACTAAATCTAAACAAGATCTGAGTGATAACAAAGTATTTTACTAATAATTATATATGTCATCAAAACAAAATATAAATTCATAAAAAATAACTGAATATATCTCTACTCTTATATAGCATACAAATGTAAAATCAATATTACTTAGAATTGAACACTGAAACTAGTTATGAAAGTCCTGTACATCGAATGTATTTTAGTATTGTGAGTCTCAGAAAGAAAATGCAGCTATTTGCATATCAACTAGTTATTTGAATATTTTTAAACCCTTAGATTATAACTTTTTGAATTCCAGATGTGTTCTCTTATGGACATTGGTAAGATTCTGAAATGACTAGCTTTTCATTATTTAAAATTACTATATAAAATATTAGTTATTGGTTATTAGAATTGGAATGAGGGAATGAAGAAAATAGGGTTGTTAAGTAATTTGCTTGTTTATGTTCTTTGGGCATATATTCATTTAATCTTGATGATTGTTTGTTGAAATGTGTTGATGTTTACTTAAGAATTAGTTTGCATGACAAATTTAATGATGACTGTTTCTCTTTTTATTTCCAGAGTGAAGCTGATAAACATCCTTCAGCTATTCTGAAAGGAACTGGACACAAGCACTCCACCTATTTGGGTTTTCAGAAAGATGACCGAAAGGAACCTTTAACAGTTTCCATTAAAAAGTCCTGGTGAATTTTCCCCAGGTTTCTTCAAACTATATCAAAATAGAACTCATTTCATGGAAAAAAAAGAATCCCACAGCACTTCTTGTTAATAACTGTTCAGCTACAAAATTTTATTGGTATCATTTTATGTTCCCTCTAGAGGATGTAATGCACAAAAGCATTGCCACGGAACATATAAAATTACAAATGAAATTTATTGTAAAAAGTAGAATGTCTTCTAGACTGGTGTCAGTATTTATTTCATTCTTAAACCAAAATTGTAGTATAATATATTCATTGTCAGCAAGTTCATGTGTGTAAATTGCCATCCAACGTTATTGACTGATATAAGACAGATATTGAAAAGACAATTTAAATTTACTTTTCCAAACATAAACTGTTCCACAAAAGCACTGTAAAAACTCCTTCAAGATTTTGGGTTGTGCTTGACATTTACGGCTAACTACATAATTTGGTTGTGTCATAATCCACTGTGTTTGGCAATTTGGCATTAAATGCCTGCAGAGCAGATTGAATTCTCACCACCTCACTAGTAGACAGCTTGAGTCTATGACGAAGCAAGCAAGAGAAAAGATCTAGGCGGCGCTGACCAGGTGGGGAGAGCTTATTTACACGGTCTCTTATCTCCAGCAGCTGCAAAAGGGCCGAGTCCTGGGATCCCTGAGTGTAGGGGTAGTCCAGCTGCAAAATCAGGTCCCGGATGGCTTCAGGGTCAAAGTGCATGCTGTAGCCAAACACTTGGATGTTGTTGATTTTCATGTAGCCCAGGTTCCGGGATGGGTCAATAAACTCCAAAGGCTCATAGTAAATGCTCTCATTGCTATTGGGGCCGTTTGCCTTGATGCGACTCCTCAGGTAGATGTGTACTGTCTCAAAAAATGTCTTCCATTTGTTTCCCAGAGTCAGTGTCCAGTTGTAGCACTGCAGGGGCAGGTCCAGCTTAGTCCGCTCCCAGTCTGGAAAGCTGCTCTCACTCACCGGCATAAACCAGCTCTCAGAGTGGCTGCCTCCAAAGGGATTGATGTAAACAGCCAGCACCGGCTCCAAAGTGCTGTTTTTAGTTAAGCAAATCTGTAAAGAGAGACCCAAGATCATGTGGACCAGACTGGACTTGTACTTGTTACTCTTCAAGGTCAGGAGCATACGCTTCCTCCAGGAAGGATCAAACCAGCTGTTGAGGCGCATGTCATTGCTGATAAAGATGGCATGGACTTCTATTCGTCTGTCTGTTTTCTGCAACAGGTATTTCATCTCCAGGTCTTGCAGGTCAGTCTCAAAGCCTATGTAGTGATCAGTTGATTCGGCAACTTCAGGCTTGCAGAGTCCCTGGCTCAGCATGTAGCCTGTGTTGCAGGTGCCGCAGCGGGTGCGGTTGTCAGGCGCACAGGTCAGGCAGGCGGAGGCATCACCCACGGTGCAGGGCAGAAAGGCTGTGCACACAACCTGGTCATTGGGACAGGTGCAGGAGTGCGTCTCCTCGGAGAAGCTGCCCAGAAGGCCATTCTCATTGCAGTAGAGAAAAGACTGGATGCGAGTGAGCCAGTAGGTTGAGGTTCTAGAAATATAAAACAAAACGAATCGAAATAAATGCTTAAATTCTGTGTGATTGTGTGTGTGTGCCATGAAGTTAATCCCAGCTCACCATTTCCTGCACTTTTTGCCAGATCTACAACCAGTAATAATATGAAATAAAGGTCAGTTTTACACACACACACACCACATATACACACACACACACACCACAGAGAGAGAGAGACATACAGAGAGAGTCAGAGAGAAACCAAATCATTTCTCTCAATTATTACTCAGACCAAAAACCACTATATAAAATCCTGAAACTATTACATTGTTTGGAACATGATGCAAAGTAGCAATACTTGACAGTGGGTCCTATGGGAAGCCATTAAGTCATGGGAGTTAATATGTTCAGTAATGAATTTATTCTCTTGTCACTGAGAATAAATTCCTTAATAAAGGACAAGTTTAAACTATAGCACATCTCTTGATTTTTTTCTTAGTGGGCTACCATTAAATACTACAGCAGCAGTAACACCACCACCACCACCACCAACAACAACAACAACACAACAATAACAACAGAAATTTCTCCATAGTAGTGCTTGCTCATGGGTCTTGGATTCCCAGGCTCTGGAACTGTAAGCCATATTTTTTTTCATAATTTATTAGCTAGTCTGTAGTATTTTGTTTTAGTAGTCACAACTGAATTTAAAAAATTATTTCTGAGTTTTTCTAAATACTGTTAAGGTAAACTCTTGTGAAAAACTCTTCCACAAGGGTCCCCAAATGTTACAAATTAATTTGTGAGGCTCTGTGAAGATGAAAGTGCATGCAGTAACTGACCTGTTTATTCTACTCTGTTTCCCCCCTCGTCTTCTCCCTTCATCTTCCCCTTCTTGCTATTTTCTTTATGCTCTCTTTGCTTTCCTCCCTTATTCTCTCCTTCTCCCTGTACTTCCCTCTTTCCTTCTTCTATTTTCTACTTGCTTATTTTGTTCTGTACAGGTCTATCATTTTATATATTCATACTCACATACATACATCCCATCTGAATTGAAGATTTTATTTTATTCCCTGAAACC